ACACAACGTGTCAATCCTCGGCGTGCCTCGGCATCATGGCCGCATCACGTCGAGAAACACCACATAACGGAAATCTGCCAGCATTTCTGGCGTAACGCACTGGCAAGTCTACGTTTATTTCCTTTACACCCATGCTATAGTAGAATGCATTGTGCATTTCGATACTTTTAAAGTATATTACTTGCTTTTAAATAGTAGTTTTTAGTGTATCCTTTTAAATGTGCTTAGGCCACCCTCAGGGTGATCACTTAACAGTGTGGCAATTTTGGGCATCCTATACCAATAAACGGTGGAATGCATAGACAGAGTTCGTTTTTGTAGTAGTGTAGACAGACGCACGCATATATAATATTTTATATTAATATATATATATGTATATATATAACCGCTAACCTATAACCTAGTCATGTGATAATATTTATAACAATGCGATAAATTATCTACTATTATTGATTATAATTGATACTCAATTTTCGCGTATCAAAATTTGTTCGCACGTCATATAATTAGTACTCGCTCATGCATAGGACTTAGTTATCCTTCAAAAACTATGGCATCCACTGGCAGGGACCAGACTCCACTCTCTCAATCTTACTCAACCCCTCCCCCTTCACAACGAAACACAGGGTTTGAAATGAGGTCGGCCCAACCTTTACCCTACGCCTCACTGCGCGCCTTTATTACTGGCCGTTCCTCTACGCTGCGAAATCTGCCGAACTTGCGACAGATGGTCTTAAAAAAGACATCCTAGTGCAATTGTCGCAAACTCCCGGTTAAAGTGGTGCAATTTCAACATTCAGCGAGCCACGGTAGGGAAGAAGATAATGTTCTTCGTTCCATGCGATTTGGTACGGCGACAAAGACGGACCATAACTACGTGAGGTCCTTCCTCGCTCTAGCCTTTGTGCAACTGCACGCCCACGTTTCCTGCTACCTCGCTGAAGTAATTACCGATTTCTCTCTCTTTAAAGCATCGTAGGTGCGTGTTATCACTGAAAAGTCTCTGTTACTCGTGGTAAGGGACCTGCGTTATTGTAAACACAAAACCCGCGAGGTCAACCGATGAGTTGGTGTGTGAGGGAAAGCAATATATATGCCACATGTTAGACGCTGCAATCGGGCCACACGGGCCTGGGACCGGGCAGGACAGCTCCTGACACGGCTTTGCTGAGTTTGGCGCGAAAGAAAAGGGTGCCCGCTCGATTATATCTGAAGTAGATAATAGGGAGCTATTCCTATTATCTACTTCTGATCATATCATATCTATACTATGCGCACGCGCGTTGGTGGGCATAACAGCAAGCATGTTGAATAAACGCTGTTGAAGTGAAAGTTATCTCTAAGCACGACCAAAAGATCGCGCGTGTTTTACGTGTTGAAGTTCGGAGGTTTTCTAACTCGAGATCTAAAATGACAGAAATCACACACGACAATGGCTCCTCTCTCTCTCTCTCTCGCTCTTTGTCGCTCTCTCTCTCTCTCTCTCTCTCTCTCTCTCTCTCTCTCTCTCTCTCTCTCGCTCTTTGTCGCGCTCTCTCCCTCTCTCTCTCTCTCGCTCTTTGTCGCTCTCTCTCTCTCTCTCTCTCTCTCTCTCTCTCTCTCTCTCTCTCTCTCTCTCTCTCTCGCTCCACCATCTCACCCACCCCACTAAATCTCAATAACTAGCCATTCGACACGGTTAATTAGCAGAGCTAACATATTTTCAAGCGGTAGGGCGTGCGAGAGCCCGAATTACCCTGGTGGGAATCCTTACGTTCTACGACTCTCACAGGGTAGCCGACACCAGCACGGAACTGTAACAGGAGCCGGCATCAAGCCTGGGAAGTAGCGATAGATGAACACATGGCTCGCTACGGCGGCGCGGTACGCCTGGGTGCCTGGAACAACGCCAGTCGAGCACGGCGACCAGCAGAAATCCGCAAGATTTAAAACAAACAGAACCTTGTGGATTATCACTTTGGAATATCACTGCCCAGGTGCCGTGTGAGTGTGGTGGGAAAAAAACGTCCAGCTAGAGTTAAAATTCCCATCTGTTTTTCTTAGTTTGTTTGTTTCACATAAGCACACCGGTCCCTAGTCAATTTGGCGAAATCCCCTGCGTAAAATATTTCAACATGGCAAATACATTTAGTAGATTCATCCCACTCAATATGGCCAGACCATAGTTACTCTAAGTACTACAAGTGGAGGGGAGGAAAAACTGAAACTAGCATATTTAGCATTTTAGATGCTTGAAAATTACCACTAGAAATCCTAAACTTGCTATATGCTTAAGCTAAAGGGCAATGCTATTAGACTCAGCTGAATTAATATAGGCGACAAACGCGATTTCACTTTCCGTAATATTTTTCCTACGGTAAAAAAATCGTAATTTAGCCGTTATTGCTACCACAAGAAAGATATATTAACTGCTCTTAATTGTATACAGCCAGTACAGTCTTAGTCCGCGTGGATTTTGTTTATACTATCCTTCCGCATCTTAGAAAGTGCAGAAACAAAGAATTACTGCTATTGGCGGGAATTCCTAGTGACGTTTTTGCACCAGCCCGTGTAAGCCGAGCTCTGTGAAAATAATACTTAGGCAGAGTTCTCATGCGAAAAAAAGGCCGCTAGTTAATAGAGTCCACAGGGTGTTGTAGTAGCGTAACCCAATGCGGACTCTGATAAAGGAAGCAGATGATGAGAATTTCTATACAGGAGTGAATAATGTAGAGATATTATATCTCTATCTCTATATTATAGATAATAGTAATGCATTCACTACCAGACAGGAATCATGCGATCGACATTACAAAATAAATTCATAATATTTTGATTCATAATTAAAAACAACTATTCTCAGAGACATGCGACTTTTAAGTTTCTCTTAATTAATTAGCAATTAATGAAATTAAAAATGTTTAAACGACCATGAACCTCATAAAAAGCTAGAAATTCTGCGTCACAATAAATACTTTTTGTTTACTATTTAATTGCTATTTCGTGTTTCATGTCGTAGATTGCTAACAACTCCGCTTCTACGCGTCCACACATGATTGCCACCGAGTACATCTTCACCAAAACATTAAGACCGTGATGACCGATTATACACCGTTGGTTACGCGCAAGTGGGGAATGTAAGCCTGGCAGGTTTGCCTAATTAGTAGCTAGTAGCCCTGGCAACAAGAAGAACCAGTCTAAATATCATCGTCGCTCCAGCATCAAGCTGGGACACCAACAATGGAAGTCTAGAATTCCAGCCACGCTGGAACCAAGGGAATGCATGCGCAAGGTGGTATCACAATAGGAGCGACTTGCAATAAACATATACAGCGTCAACGGGGTATATGCGCAGTCATTTACTATGGTGTACATAAGACGTACATAGCTAAGATCACAAAAATGTATCAACTGTGTTACTAAGTAGTACACTTGTCTATTTCATATCGAATTCAGTATGTTTACACGGCAGCTCTATTTAATTATCTATTATTATACTAACCGTTCCTTATCATGCACAATTAAGGCAATACTTGTATTATAATAGGCAATCAGGGCTAGCAAGCAGTATGCCTAGGAACTAGCAGATAATAAGTGTGAACCTCTCGTTCGTATATGTCAGTGTGCATTGAACAAATATTACACATTATCATCGGTTACATATATACTGTGCCAATTAAGTGCGTGTGCACGCACACTTATTATTACGTCTGAACGATACATGTAATCGATGTAGGTCCTATGGTCTATATATATATGCATGCCCCCCCCGGGAATTAAAAAAAAAGAGGCTATATTTGGTGCATTCTGGTGAATTTTGAGGGTCAATTCTGAAGATACCCAAGCCTGTGACCGGTTTCTGGAAACCGGTACAAATCGGTCTAAATGCGCGCCTGAGTTAACTCGCCTCGGCGACAAACTCTACCCGTGTGGCGAGTTTACCCGCCTGGACGTCGGTCAGCTCGGCTCATGGGTCAAGGTGACCGTCCTGGAGATCGGGCAGCTCGACTCACCGGCCAACTCATGTGAGATTGAAAATTGAGATTGATCATATGTGTGACAAAATTATACTATATATATTGGTTGTAAATTTGTTATGTTATTTTATAATCACAGATTTTTTGTAAAATGTACACGTTATTAACGCATTTCTGAAACGATGAGTAATGTGGCAAATAACACAACAAGATTTATTATATATTAGGTACTCGCAAAATATGACGATCTTAATCAATTATTGAACGAATGAATCTGAAGACAATCTTAATATTGACCTTTTAATTACGAGACTGGATGACCAAACATTCTTTAGTAGAGTAGATTCAAGTACATCACATATAAGCTCGTAACAATAATGTAATGAATAAAGTAATGTAATGTAATGTAATGTATTATATTACTGCTAGCTAGCTACTATAGCAATATATTTGTAATCATGTGTAATACCAGTGCAATACGTAATACAATGTTTCTACGGTTCGTATAATATAGTCAACTCGCCTCCGCGGCAAACTGTGGCGAGTTTACCCGCCTGGACGTCGGTCAGCTCGGCTCCTGAGTCGAGGTGACCGTCCTGGAGATCGGGCAGCTCGACTCACCGGCTAACTCATGTGAGATTGAAAATTGAGATTGATCATATGTGTGACAAAATTATACTCTACGCATAATAAAAGGTTATTCCCATAAAAATACCACACACGTTTTGACGTCGGAATGTGTAAAACATCTTAAATGACCGTGAGTCGAGCTCACCGACGTCCAGGCGGTTGACCAGTGCCCGTTTCTACGGCCGTAACTGTAAGATTGTAATAGAAACATGACAGTTTATTACTGCCACAGGAGTATTCTGCGGAGAAGAGTTTCTTACCTGATGCGGCGCTAATCTGAACCAAGTGTCGACGACGATACGAAGACGTGCCTCGTGGTACTTATGCGTTGTCTTCACGGACAGAAAAACGTCGTCTAAGTGTGTAGATGTGCTGCTTTTATTCGTCTGTTCCATCGCGACACGCGCGTCTGCAGTCGTTTCATTTATAGATAACACACGAGAAACATTTTCATGTTTCTTTGCCACTTCTTGTTCGTATTTGTCATCTAATGGCTGCACACCGTCATCAGAGTATAATTTATTCTGCGTTTGCTCCAGTTTGAAGTGGTGGAAAGTCGATGAGAAAGCGCAGTCCGCCGCCGGGCCATTGCATAGGGGTGATGCACCCACAGCGTTTATCCCAATAGGTAGAAGCAAAGTTTGATATAAGGTCGTCCACAGAAACATAGGGAATACGATCAGAGTAATTCCCAGTAAACCATTCGTTACTGAGAGCCTCATTGTGACGATAAGCATGATGTCATATACAAAAACGTTAACGTAAGACTGCAGTACTCGTCCACGACGGTTCGACACAACAAGTCGGTAGCGTGCCTGCCTACAAACTGCTCCTGCTACGCCGTGCACCAACAACTTAGCCACCGGGTCAGAAATCCACAACAGTGGCGCCACCATCGCAAAAGCGCAAACGATAGAACGCGGAAATGGCTGGTACATCGGCGATTTTTGCATTACGGGGTGTCTAGTGGCTCCGCCTCGTGTCTACATCTGCTAGAACTGATTATGGTGGTGAATAACAACAGTGGTTGCTCTGATATCAGTGAGAACTTTATAATTAAGAAAGTTCTATTCGCAACGATCTTTAGAAAAATTAAATTACACTTAAGAACTACTCGCGAAAGCACATATTCGCTCGTTACGCTGATGAGACTACGATGATTTCTCTAAATCCCGGCCCGATTCATAGTATATCTCTTAGTAAAATATTGACTTGATACGAAGACAATAATACAAGGATCCTGTTACTAACATAACATTTTCTGTCCCGGTATTTTCATTTCTATATAAAACACTTTATACACATCTTTTAATAAATTGTTTTTCTCTTCAAATTAAGGCTAATATAATATACGGAACCCGCTTAATACGATTTTTTTTTCTTTGGCCTGTCAGTTTCGTACTAACGGGGTGCGACTGTAGTAATGAATAGTAGTAATTGAATGAAGAGTTTAGGCTTTGCAGTAATTGTATCTATTTGTGAACAATTTAACGCTACTAAAGTTCTTAATTATACATATAAACCTATATAAAATACCTTGTACACACCTTGTAATCCATTATTTTTTCTTTGTTAATTTGGGGCTAATGTTGAAGTGGTTAATACGAAACCCGCTTAATACAATTATTTTTCTTTGGTCCGTCAGTTTTCCACTAACGGGGGTTGACTGTAGTAATGATTCTTGGAAAAATGTAGGCAAACGCTTCGCAGTAATGGTTTATATCCTCCGCACGTAATGTAGCGGAACGTATTGTTTTCGCGCCGTTTGTTTGTTTGCATGTGTGTGTGTGTGTGTGTGTGTGTGTGTGTGTGTGTGTGTGTGTGTGCGTGTGCGTGTGCGTGGTGTGTGCGTGGGTGCCGTGTGTCTGTCTGTCTGTCTGCTCGATATTATTTCCAACCGCTAGACGTTAGAACTATCACATTGGTCAGTGGTGCATTGGACCTTAGGGGCGGCTGGAACCGCGTATTGATTTTGAGTGACTTATTCACCGAGAATATATGCCGACTTAGAATGCAGGAGGGGCGGTTTGGAATGAAGAGAACAAGGTCAAGGTTAATGGTTCGACATATTGATGAATGGATTAGATAGATGGAATAGATAGATATACTAGGATAGATAGAGTAGATAGATAGATAGAAGATAGATAGATAGAATATATAGATAGATAGATAGGATAGATAGATAGATAGATAGATAGATATGATTTTGGGGGGCGGTAGGGATAGATGTAAACGCGAATCCACGATAGATAGATAAGATAGATAGATATCGATAGATAAGATAGATAGATAGATAGATAAGATAAGATAAGGATAGACTAGATAGATAGATAGATAGATAGATAGAAAAATATGATGAGATATGGGCGCTGAGTGGCGGAGGTGCAGCGTGGGGGAGGACTTGATTCCACAGCCAGCGCGTGTGCCTTGGCGAATCCACTGCAAGGTTACGTGAGCTACTGTTATGCCGCTTCATTAGCCTGTGGTTGCGTGTTTTTTGTAAGTGGTACAGCCAGCGCGCACTACGCAGAAGTGAACTGGGCATCGTGCATGTTTTCCAGGGAGATTTTCCATTTAGATTTTTAAATATGTTTTTTAAACATTTAACCAAACAATAACAAAAAGCAAAGTGTTAGAATCGAGACGCTGATGCGGTAGGAATGTAAGCATGAAACATTTCAGTGGCCGAGATTCCGTATAACAGCGCCTAGAAGTTATGCGGATACAACAGAACGCCAACTAACTCAATTACTTCTATAGATATATTCTTGGATTCACCTTCGGATCACTAAGTGGTCGCGTGATCGCTGATTTGGTTATTTCGGTAGCCGAATGTTTTCGTTGGGCCTTGTTGAAAGATTTGGGAGTACTGGTGTCTACGGTCCGCTTTTTATGTTCTTTAAGGGCGGGTTTCAATTTGCGGCCGGTTTCTCCAATATAACTTTTTTCACACATTGCACAGGGTATCTTGTAGACACAGTCTGTAATGTTGTGTGTATCTGTTCTGTTCTTCGGGTGAACTAAATTCCTTTTTAATGTCTCAAAGCGGTTCTAACCGTTTGTTTGGCATCACAAAGTACTGGCGATATTATGCGTGACGTGTCTTGTTATGGTATAGTATGGTATAGTATGGTATGTATGGTATTCTTGGTATGGTAAGTCTATGTATAGGTGGGGGCGGAGTGACGTCACTTCCCCTTAAGGGCCGGACACACTAGGCGATTAAATCGGGCGATTAATCGTGGGGCGATAAATGCCCTGAATGCGCCTAGTTGATCCACTCAATCAGCCGCGGAATTTTCATCGCCCGATTTATCGCATAGATGCAATAACGATTTTGATATTAATCGGGCGATGTTTTCGTCGCCCGATTTTGTCGTCCGAATTTCATCGCCTAGTGTGTCCGGGGGCCGAGCGATAAGCATCGCCGCGATTGAGCAATTCATCAGCCAATCAGAGTTTGTTGCAATATACTGACGTAATAGTATGTCATTTCATGGTATAGGATGGCACGCACGCAACGCACCGTCTACGGTGCACATTGCACGCACAATCACTCATGCACAGTGCCGTGTACGTGCCGCAGCACGCACGCACGCATGCACGCACGTGGTTACGTGCAAACGCCCGCAACGGGGCGCGCACGTTACGTGCACATGGCATGCACGCAGTGCACGGGCAACGTGTACTGCACACACACGCATGCGTAACGGAACGCACGCACAGGGGGGGCATGCACACACGTGTACCTCACACGCTGCCGGCTGACACACACCGCACGCGACGCACAAGCACGAACGTGTACCTGCATACGACGACGGCAGGCACGTACGCACGCACGCATGACGCAGGATGAAAGTGCAAACGCAGCGCAGGCAAGCGTACGCACGCACAGCGATGGCACGGACAGGTGAAACGTGCACACGCAGGCACGGCACACACGGCACGCAGCACGCACGTGTAACGTTCACAGCGCACCAGCTGCGACAGCACAGCGCGACCTCGTTCGCGTCGCAACGCAACGCGATGTACGCAGCGTGTAAGTGACACGCCGCACGCAGCGCACGAACGACACGGTACGTACACACGCACGCCACGCACAGACGCACACAGTGTACTTGCACCGTACGCACGCACGCACGCGCGCAAGCGTGTACGTACACAAGCGGCACGGTACGGTGCAGCGACGCACGGTGTACGTGCACGAGCAGCACATGCCCAGTTCGAGGGGCAAGGCGGACAGATGCAGCTGGTCGGGTACGCAGGCACTGGTCACTACTGCCGTCGACGCACGTAGTACGTGGGAGAGGCCACGGCGACCAGCCTCGACCGTATAAGGTGCAAGACAGGCACACACGGCACGCAGCAAGTAGAGGAGAGAATACGCACGCAACGCAGCACACGCCACGCATGCGGACACGGCAAGTTTTACATAACACACGGTCACCGCACGGTTGCGACATGAATCACGGAGGTGTAGGCAGACACGATATGGCCACGCGCGTCTACGTGCACATGCATGCGCGACTTATTCACCGGCGATTTTGTCGCCGCGGATTTAATGCGCGCTAGTGTGTAAAGGCCGAGGTTAGTAACCCGTTCGATGACCCTAGAACGATGAAACGCCATATCCGAGTCGCTGCTGCGGTACGTACCTGCTGGTCCACTGTCTTCGATGTCAACGTCGACCGCCGACAAACGCCCGTTGGTGACTCACTCAGTCTGGAGGTGGACAGCTATATGTAGGTAGAATATTACAATCTTTGGNCTAATACATATTTGTGAATGCGCCTCTGTTTGTCTGTTCTCGATGCAAATCAATACGGAGCACTCTAGAAATGTCTCCGAGGTCATCTAAACCAAAAAACAACAAAAAAACGGAAAATATACTGGCCCCTGCAGCAGCAGCCAAACACATGTACATTAGCATAGCGGGTCTACCTGCTCTGTGGCATTGCTCCTCCACACGTTAGACGAATGGCTTCATCCTAAGTAGAGAAACTTAATCAAGAAAATCACCCTCGCCACCCGCTCTTCCATTATGAAACAGTACAGAAGATACTAAAGTCCAGGCACAGTTTCATCCACGCGGTTCAACCCCTGGATGGCAACCTCCAAAACTACAGGCTCGCCCAACGGGCAAATCATCTTCAGGCAAGCCAACATAAGCTTTCACTCAGACCCCAGGAATCCCTCCCACCCGGAGCCAACGAGGTATGGCCGACGTGGTTATGCCTAAATCGCGTCAGGACAGGGTTTGGTCGATGCAGGGCACTCATGCAGAAATAGGGATACACTGAAGATGGCCCAACCGAATGCGACTCCGGAGAGGACCAGACTATGGGAAATCTCCTGAAATGCCCCCTATTACCAGAGCCCTGTAGCCCTGGAGACCTTGAGGCTTTCAACCATGCACCGTGCCAAGTCCTGGGTGCTGCAGTGGCTAGGCCGAGTGTAGTGCAGTAACCCGAGAAGACGAAGAAGAAAAAGAAGAAGAAGAAGAAGAAGAAGAAGAAGAAGAAGAAGAAGAAGAAGAAGAAGAAGAAGAAGAAGAAAAAGCATAGCGGGGAACCGAGGGTGTGATGCTATGAGAAAATTGAATACTCTAGATTGGATTTTACCAAGCACACATGCTGTGGACCCGCCCGGCTCCACTTTGAACGTATAAGAACGGCCGAAGAAAATTCTCTTGGCCGTCAACGGTGATCAACGAACGAGCGACATCTACCTGTACAATAATGTAGGCATAGCAGGGAACACAGAGCGTGATGCTGCGAGCAAAGAGAATATTATAGATAGGATTCTACCAAGCACACGTACTGCCGGCCCGCCTCTCGGGCCGTCGGTTCC